GAGAGGCAGCGGGACCCGCGGGCAGGCGCAGGGCACCAGCAGCCATGCGGCTTCCCAAAGCAAGGAGGTGAGAGATCCCACACCCAGCTGGGCTCTGGCCAGGCCTCAGCCATGGCACGGTAAAGCATGGCATGGCCTGGCCTTGGCCCTTGCATGGAGGGGCACAGAATAGCAGAGCCCATGGCCTTTGCCTGCCATGGCATGGTGAGGCAGAGCGTGCTCGGAGCCCAGCCTGGAGTGCCAGCCATGAACAGGCAGCTGCAGGTGCCTCTAACCCAGCACACGGGCAGCAAGGGCTGGACAGCACCAGGGGACAGTGACAGACAGCAGCAGGGGACAAAGCTAGGCAGCACCAGAGGACAGAGCTGGGCAGCACCAGGGAACAGTGACAACACCAGGGGACAGTGACAGCACCAGGGGACAGTGCTAGACAGCACTAGGGGACAGAGCTGGACAGCACCAGGGGACAGTGAAAGCACCAGGGGACAGAGCTGGACAGCACCAGAAGACAGAGCTGGACAGCACCAGCGGGAGATCACGGGAGCCACGCAGGCAGGGAGTTCTGGAGGTGTGTGGGAAGGCTGCTGTGGCATTGTCATCCCCTGGGAAATTCTGCTTTCAGAATTTCAGGTAATGTTGCACAGGTATTACCAGATGTGGAGCCAGGTGTGTGGTGCTGGCAGGGAGGAACATGGTGCAGCCCTGGCATGCTGGGGCACAGCTCTCTGGGCCTGTCAGGGGCTGTGGGCACAGGGACTCTCCCAGCTCTGCCAGGATGCCTGGGCACAGGGACTGACCAGGGCTGGAGAGCCTTGCTCCCAGTCACCTGCAGAGCTATGGGGGAACAAGGTTAAGCAGGGAGAAAAGCAACTAAAGCTGTGGAAGAGGAGTGACCACTCCCTGGCCCCACTGGGCAGAAGAATCCCCTATCCAGTCTGTCACTGGGAGTCACTGGGGACAGAGATGTGGCAGCTGTCTCACTCATGCCTGAAACCCAGAGCTGCTCCCAGGCCTGGCTGCCAGGAGGTGACAAGAAGGGGATGTGCTGCAGCCTGCCATGGTCACCAGGTTTGGTAATGGTGTGCACAGGCACTCCTCAGCCCTAGGAATGTCGTCAGGATCACAACAATGAGGGGCCTGGAGGGAGGGTGTCAATGCAGCCCCATGTCCTGTCAGGACCCCGATCCTTGCAGGACCCCCACCATGTGCCTGACAGTGGCCCATGCCACCGTTCAGCTTTTGAAAAGTGCTTCCTGCAGCAGGAGATAATCAAACCACGTGATGAGCACTGCAAACAACCCCCTGCACCAGGAAGCAGTAGCAGATGCTGAGATGTTCCTGCTGTAGCTCCAGAGTTCCTGCTGTGTCTCCTGTCTTTGGCAGCAGCTCTCAGGCTGGGCAAGGCCGGTCCTGTTCTCCACAGCCTTTTCTGGATGGATATTGCTGCATAAACCCCACATGGTTTGGAGTGATTACACAACTCATGTGGAATTCAGCACGACAGAGGACCCACAGTGCTTTTCAGCCGTAGCCCTGGAAGGTCCCTGTGCAGCTGGTGGGTGATGCTGGTGTTCAACCAGAAGAGGGACATGTGTGATCTGTGTCCTGGCACCAGCAGGGGAGGGGGAATAGGACAGCCAGGAGCAGCTTACGTGCTGCCTGAACTCTGCCTGTAGCCAGATGTGCCCAGCTGTGGAGGGCAGTGGCAGGCAAGGGCGAGGTTTGTGCACCAAAGGAGGATGTGGCCCTGACCCTTGTGCCTTCTGCAGGGCTCAGTGAGACCCTGGGGGTCCTCCTGGTGAGTGATGAGCCCCACCATGGCCACCAGGCCCCAGGGCAGAGCAGAGGCCTGGCTGCCCCGTGCCAGGGATGGAGCAGGACCCTGGTGCCAGCTGTGGCTGCGCTCTCATGGGGCAACACTGCGCTCAGGCACTCAGCTCCTGGCGCTCAGCAGAGCTGACAAAAAGCCCCTTTTGTTTTTTGTCAGCCCACAAGGGTTAAATCAGCTGCTCTTTTTCTGAGGGAAGGGCTGCGGAGCCAAAGGTCATTCCCCTCTGCCCCTGGCTTTGGGTTTGGAGGGCTGAGCCCCCTCCTGCCTCCCCTCACCCCATGAAGGCAGACAGGAGGGCAGGGTCATGGAGCTCTGCCCTCAGCAGCCTTTTCCCCATCGGAACAAGGCATGTTCCCTGTACCCCAAGATGGAGGAGATCAGGACTCCTGCCCCACAAGCCCTGCCCAGGGGTCCAGACACACAGCAAAACTCCCTGTCCTCCGTGTCCCATGGGTGGAAGCAGTTCAGCCCCACTCAGAGAGCCAGTGCTGACGGGTTCTAAAGCCTCTGACAAATGAACATTCCTCAGTGGTTTCAATCCCTGTTCCAAAACACATCTCTGTGGGGTTGGTAACCTTAACTGTGATATTTTAAAAGCCAAAACTTTATTTCAGTTCAGAATACATGCATTGTTACACAAATGGCTGAGACTAGGGGAGAAGGAGAGGGTTCAGGGGAGGTGCTGGGGAAGGAGCTACCCCTGAAAGGGCAGAGGGTGATGGGCAGATGGGGCTCCATTTCTTTCTGCCACCTTTAATAAAATTAGGCTGTAGTGAAGCTGACAGGGAACATCCTATTATCGTGGACAAGCCCTGAAAGACACAGAGACATCTGGTTTGAGGGGGAAGGCAGGGAGGTGCCACAGGTCAGGGATGAGCCTGGGGAAGCAGCTGCTTCCTTCCCTCCTTCATTCCTACTTTAAATACCAACACACAGCTGCTGCCAGGTTTTTATACTAAATATGACTTTTGCTGGGCAAATTACATTAGGATGGATGCCACAGGTATCCATTAAGGTTTATTTATTGTGATACCATTTGTATCTCATGCTTATAAATAACTTATGTTATAGCTTTTGTTTGTAGAAATGTAACTTACATATTTTATTATGCTTTCTGTAAACCTCAAAAAGAATTTTGTCAAAGCAGTGCCTCTTAACAGCAGTCTACACCCCGGTACATAAACCTGTAGCAGCATTATTTTTTAATCTGGTGAGGAAGCGTGTTATCCCGCTGCAGTTTGAGAGGTTCGCTGTCATCGTAAACTCCTTGTGCAATAAAACATTAATGAAGCCAAGGAATTGCTCTGTAAGGTGTGCATATGCTGGGCTGAGCTCTTCACAGGCTCCTTTGCAAGCAGGGCCCATGTTCAGTGTGCTGAGCCCAGGGATGGCTGGGCACACAGGGATGGATGGGCACTCACCTGAGCCTCAGCATCCCTGCCTTGCTCTCCGAGGATATAAAACACAGCTGGGGGAGAATCAGCCCTGTTCTACAGCCCCCAACTCTCTGCATTGCCAGACAGGCTCACCTTGGTTCTTTGGGAGGAAATTGCTTGGGCTCTGAGTGGCATCTCCCTTTGACATTTCCCACTCCGTTGTTTCCACTGTTTTTAAAGGAGAAAAAAATTCCAAAGCCCTCAAGGCAATTATGTCTTTTCAAAAAATGCATAAGGCATTAGACGTGCTCCATGGATTCCTGTAGCCTCCATGGATTACTGCAATCTCTATGGATTACTGTAACTTCCATGGATTTCTGTATCCTCCATGCGTTGCTTTACCTCCACAGATTACTCCTCAGATGCTGAGCATTCCTGGAGCTCAGAGCCTTTGGCTGAAATCCTTTCTTGAACTGAGCTCAAATGTGAACAGCAAACTGACAAGCTGGGCAAGGCCAGTCCTGTTCCCCACAGCCTTTTCTGGATGGATATTGCTGCATAAACCCCCATAAACTTCCAGCTGTACTTTCTGCCATCTGAAAATGTGCAGAAAAGTAACAATTGCAAAGAAGAAAACTGGAAAAGCCCTGTAAGAAATACAGGTGTGAACTTTTTCTCCCTGTTGGCCACAATTAATAATTCCCATTCTTATCTAATAAGTGGTGAAATGTTACTGAACTCACAAATGTCAGCAAACATGACAAATATGTGAAATATTTTTTTTCCTTAGGTAAATAATGGAAAACCCAACTCAATCCCAAAGCAAGTTTGTAATTACACATTAAATAATAGCTTTTCCACATAATGCACTGAGTTATGGTTTAAGAGGTTCTGATTTTTATTAGGTCTTCCTTCAATCCATTTTGCATCTCCCCAGCCAGCAGAGCCCCTCCTGCCCAGCACAGGACACCCACTGCTCACCAGGGTAAGTCTCTTTCTTTTTTCTGCAGTTTTGGATAAACTTTATGCTTTGTGAAGGGTTTTAACACCTCCATTTTCTTTTGTGCTTCTGTTTTTGCTGATTCTAAAGACCTGGAAAATGTGTACTTGTGAAATAACACATCAGTACTTCACTAAGTCTTGCTCCATCCTCTCTCATTCCGCTCTGTGCAACATTCAATTTTCTTGCTACACTTATAGCCTAAAAATGCTTGTTTTCAGTCTTCTTTGTGGTCCTCATTGTCATTAACCACGTGTGCTGCAAAGAAATATAGAACATTTTGCAGAAAAATAGTTTGAAAAGGTGTCATATAAAGTTTGTACTGGCTTTCATCTCATTTTCAAACAAATATGTCTTAAGAGTGAGCTTAGAGGTTTGAACTGATGAGATATTATTTACTATTATGTACAGAACTGAGAATCATGAACTGACACAAATTCAGAATGAATGCATATCCTTTTTTTCTCTATTTATACACTATTTTTACACTGTTTCATAAAGCTAAAACAACAGGATTATAAATTTTGATAAGAAAGGCTGAAAACATTCTTCAAAGTAAGGCTGATTTTCCATTGTTTTCACTATTATAAATCCTTACATTTAGGCTAGAGATAGAAAAATGTGGAAAATATCTTAAAAAATAGTTTTCACAAGAGTAAAAAATCTCTCTAACAAATAACAGGGTGCCAGCACTTTCCAAGAGGGTTTATCAGTCAGTTCTCTGTTTCCAAAGTCCTTGTCAAATTAGATCCACGCCCTTGGGATTGGAGGCCCCTTTGCAGTGCAGAGCTTTGGCCACGTCTCTCCAGCATGCTCTGAGTGACCTGGAAAAGCAGACACCAAACATTTGGTTAAAGGAGACCTGACTGTGGGGGATACATTGTGAGAGATGATAAAAATAGAAACTATAATGTGTATTCAATTGAGGGAAAACCAGAGGAAGACTCAGCAGCAGAATCACCAGGTGCCCTCAAGAGCCAGTTCTGTGGTGTGTGAGTCTGGGCACAGCAACGTGTGAAACATTTGAGAGCCAGCAGAGAAATGACTGCAGCCAGAAGCTTTCCCAGCTCACCTGGCTGAGAAATGTCCTTCCTCCCCAGCCTGCAGCCAAGGGCTCCTTGGATGTGCCATGGAGGCCAGCCCCACCTTGCCCCCCGGGAGGATGCCAGAGTCCAGCCTGGCTGGTGACAGGAGGGAGCAGACCCCTCTGGCACAGCACAAACACACAAACCCCCAGCAGCTCACCACCTGGGAAACAGGGTGTGAAATCTGTCTGCCAACATCACCTGGGACTGAAGGACACCTCAGAGCCCAGACATGAGCTCCTCCCCTGCAATGAGCACCTTGACTGCCGTTTGTCCCAACCCAAATCTGGGTGTTTGCTCAGGGGTTCCTGCCCACGGCAACGGGCTGGAACTGGGTCATCTTTAAGGTCCCTTCCAACCCAAACCATTCTGTGATTCTATTTTTTCAAAACTCAAACACCAAAACAATCCAAAACCCACACAGAAATGATTTGAAGTACCAGATGTGTCTGCACTCCACATTTAGAGTTTTTCAAATGTTCTTTGTCTGTTGCCTGCATGCTCTTTGCTGTGATTGTGTCAGGCTTTGCTGGCTCACAAGAGCCAAGCTAATAAAGTCTCCCCAAAACAGCTCCTGAGGGCTCCTTCCTGCACAGGACTGTGGGGACAGGTGCCTGCAAACTGATGGGATCTCAGCAAAGGTCTCTTTGCTGGATCAGAGGCAATAATCCTGCCTGCCTCCACTGCACGGGGGTGTCTGGAGCAGTGGGGTGAGCTGGGGCTTGTGTGCAGGTACAGGATGCAATTAGCAAGTTATTCTTTATTCTAGTCCTATTTTTTAATGATTGTGCTTATTTTCTTACTAATGGAAATTGATTTCTGCTCAATTTTAAGCATTTGCAGTTAAAAGGAGCCTCCTGCTTCACAGAAAAGCTAACAGCCACCAGGGCTGAGGTGAAGGGGGACCAGCAGTGGGTGTTGGCCCCCAGCCAGCTCCAACACACCCTGGAGAGGTGGCAGCAGCATCCTCGAGTACTTCTCAAGCCTTTCTAGGGTGGTGTCAGTTTGGGCCATCTGCTCTGGGCTCTTGGGAAGCTCAGGCATCTGCATCACTTCCTGTATTTCTCTTCCCATCATATTCTGGCACAGTTATAGGCTACTTAAAGCAGAACTTTTTAGCACCTCACGAGAATGTTGATTTAGCTTAGAAATATGAAACAGGAGGGGACTGTAGTGCTGCCCACCACCCTGCTACCACAGCCAAGCAAGTCAAATAACCCTGTTCAGCCTTTATTACATTGGCTGTGTCAGTCACAGCCTCAGTCATGGCCCTGGGCATCAGCACAGCCCTGGGATAAGTACTTATACAGACAATTATTCAGAGGAGAATGAACCATTCTGATGAACCTGTGCCCGCGTACCTGGCAAGGTTCCTGAGCAGTCTGATATTGCACTCCAGAGGAATATTACCTGTATTCCACAAATTTCAGGTGTGTAACGAGAGAACTTGTTAAAGACAGGCTGAGAATCAGCTTTTAGGATGCAAAATGTAGTAGACTTTTAAAGTTAATGTAACTTGTAGGGTGTCACACAGAGCGTCAGAAAGGACAGAAGTTTGGGATTTGTTTGTCAGATTTTTTAAAAAACCTTTAAAAGATTTAAACCGGTTTAAATCTTAAACAAATCCCAAATTAATCACACGTCATTATCATCAAAATTACAGTTGTCTGTACATAGGCAAAAATATGGGATAGTGAAAGAAAATGTAATAAAACTGTAACACTAAGGCTAAGCCCTGACAACTCCACAGTTGTGGAGGGAGTTTTTGGTTTAATGTCTCCTTGGCCAATTTCATGCCCCCAGGACAGCTCCTCTCACACCAGCAATACCCTGTGTCACCATCTTTGCTGCTCCTGCAGCAGCACTGGAGCAGAGGCAGCAGCTGATCCCAGCTGGGTCCTGCAACACTCAAACCACTCCGAACATCGCCTGGGAGCAGGCGTGAAGGACACAGGACCTGCCTGCACCAAACCCCAAACCCCAAACATCAAACCCCAAACCCCAAATACCAAACACCAAATCCCAAACCCCAAACACCAAACCCCAAACCCCAACCACACACCAAACCCCAAACCCCAACCACACACCAAACCCCAAACACCAAACCCCAAACCCCAACCACACACCAAACCCCAAACCCCAAACACTCACCAAACCCCAAACCCCAAACATCAACAACAGTGATCAGTGCAGAGTCCAGACTAGAGGAGGCCACAGTCCTGAGACGTTGGCCAGTGTCCACAAGTGGTTTTTAGAAAAGAGGCATTCCAAGAACTTAAGTCAACCCCACAATGGAAAGCATTAAGAGCATCCCCAGGCAACAGCAAAGAATAACATCTGTGTGTCCCCTTCCTGATCACAGCATCCCATGGCATCCATGTGCCACCACCAGGGAGCTGTGCTGAGCTCTGGGCTTCCCAAACATGCCAGTCCAGACTGAGCTCCTGCTGCCTCAAGGGAGCAGCGCTGTTGTAGAGTGGGATGTGGGTATGATTCCATTTGGGCATAATTAACCCTATTGGAGCAGGCATGTGTCAATCCCAATTTTTCTGAGTCCCCCAGTAAACATGATGCTTTCCTTTTGAAATCACTTATGGGCAAAGAAGATCTCATGAAAATAAAAAAGCAGTACTGGAAGGAGCAGTAAGATCTGGTAACTTGCATGCTTGCTATTTCCCAAGAACTATAGAGACAGTAAAGGAAGTAAAGGAAGCCATTCCCAATAAATAAATCAGCAGTGCACTGGAATGAGCCAAGAAAAGATGACTTTTACAGTTATATGTAAGTACATGTCCTACTTTTTTTCAACATGAAATAAATAACCTTGATGCAAAAAGGGCAATACAAATATTGCAAATCCTATTTCCTGTTCGTCACTCTTCCAAAAGAAATATAAGACTTGTTCCTAAGTAAAGGTGCTTATACATATCCATGTCTGCTAAGCAAAACACATAATCATTAGAACTAGTCTAATTTCAGTAAAAAGAATATTCTGACAGTCACAAATTTATTCTTTATGATTTACAGCTCCATGGTTTTATCTTCAAGTGAAATATTTAATTTCTTCTTATACTGAAGCATCAAAACCATATAATTAATATGTAGTCAGGCTAATCCTTAAGAACTATAAATCAGAAGCATTATATAAACAAAAGTGTCGTCTTGAACAAGATTGGGAGTGCAGAAAACTACTTATATCCCACTTTTATAATGAGGCAGTGACTCAGAGCAGATAGAAAATGATTAGTTTTCCTTCCAAAGTAGAAAATATTGCTTCCATCTGTAAAGTATAATATTGTGATGTCATAAAGTTTTCCTAAACACTGAATTTACCCTTATTCCCTCTCAATCATTTTAAAAGAACTGCTCTCTCTTATAGAGCTTGGATTTAAATCACAGTAACACACCAAGAAGATGAATGACATTGCTGTTAGATATGGCTAAAATTGGATCCTTCAGCACAGGTGAATGATGAGACAGCGCTTCTCTTCTTGATATATTTTCTTCTTCTATTAGTTTCCTTCCATGGCTGGGATTTCAGTTTGAATTTTAATGTATGCGGTTGCTGCTAATCTTAGTGTCTGATTTTTTTTCCAGCGCCCTCTTATTGTATAGACAATTCATTCTCCAAAGCAGTAATACACTGAGGCTTGTGAGTGCCCAGGAGATAAAGCAATTCAGAATAAAGTTAGAGCCAGCTCTGCAGAAAGGCACAGACAACAGGTCAATATTCTCAGAAACAACCCCTCGCCACACAAAAAATGCACACCTCTGGATCAAGGCTGTCCCTCAGAGGGCTCCCATCCCACAGAACAGCGTCCCTAGGAAGTCACCAGGGAAACATGATGGGCATATCCAAATTGACAGCTTCAGATTTTATTGAAAGGGTGAATTGCAGCCTGTTTCCTGCTTTACAGAGTCTGCCACAGATGCACACAACCCAAACTGCAATCAATGCCAGCAGTTAAGTGTGAGCACTCAGATAATCCCCCCCAAAGCCAGTTGCTCCTGGGAAACCATTCAGAGAAAGAAACTGGTTAACTATTTTTCTAGGAAGCAATTTTTCAGATGTGATTTGCATGGTGTTGTTGTTTTATCTTTCTATCTAGAAGCCTGATGAGCTTGCATAACTTCTGCTTAATTCTGGAAATATGAAAACAAAGTTTATTAGGAAAAGGTTAATTATATCCTTGCATGATCGAAGGTTGGGTGTAGAGGTTGGGGTAAAAGTTTGTGAGGATTTTTCATTGAAATGGACCCACTCAACCTCTGGGAATGATCTGTAAGATGCTTACAAGGTGCATGGGTTGAAATACACTCCTCATTCCTAACATGAGCATAATGGAGCAAGGACCAGGGACAGAGATGGCAACTGAAAGTGCAGCAGGCAGCTCTGTTCTATGTGTAGTAATTATTTTAACTATTTTGGCATGAGATCAGGCAGAATTTCCTAAACACTTACTTTCTCATTAAGAAGTGTGAGTCTAAGCAGCAGTCTTGACACAGGCCATTGGTTTCTTCAGTCTCCAAAGATGATGGTGTTCATTAGGACTGACATCATCTGAAAGAAGAGTCAGACAGTTTACATGAATGTGGATGCTGTTGTTAAGCTGTGTGATGTGCTGAGATGGAAAAATGCATGAAACCTTTACTAATACTGCTGAAATCACTGATGATTCCTATATGAACATGGTATTACAAAAGTCCTTCTTCCAAACAAATATTTCTATAACCAAAACTACCAAGTGAAGAAAGTGAAAAAAAAATATTGCCAAAGCTCATCTCTAAAGCCAAAGTTGAATAAAACCTGAAGTGTGAACTGACACTTAGAGCAGAGTTAATTGAGGTACAGGCTTTGAAGCTCCCTCCAGGATTTTCCCCCTTGCCACACTATTTCCAGAGAGCAACACGTGTGCCCAGCAATCTGTATGAGTTTGAGACAAAACCCAGGCTGCTCTTCAAGGCTCTGGTTTTCTCACATCCAACTTTCTCTGAGTAGGACACTGCCAGGGCTGGAGAGGAACACTCCCTATTGCAACCAAGGCAATTGTGGTTACGGCAAAAGGTCTGTTATGTTTGCTCAATTATCTCATCAAAAAAAACTAAACAATATTTAAGGTAGCAACAATTTTCATTGAATAGTTTAGAAAATATATATAAATAAGGGATAATTTGGTTCAAATAATAGCGCATAAGCAAAAACAACTGTGGGGTACGGAGGGCAGGGTTCTTGACTTTTGCTACTTCACGTACAAGTTTGCTAAGTAAAAGTCACTCTTTATATACCATGTGTCAATACCATCTCCTTCCATTTTTGGTTCGTCACTTTTCAGTCTCTGCCTTCATTACCACCTTTACCACGCATGCGCCACCACTCGGTTTGGTGGTCGCACAAGCCTTTGGGGGTCGTCACTGATGAAGGCCCTGTAGTCTTCTTCGTTGTCCTTTAATTCACCTTTGGGTTACACATGCGCACCAAGCCAGTACAATGTAAGCCAAGACTAACGTATCACTGCATCTACATATCAAAACAATAAGTCTTTTATAATTAGCATTTTCTTGGACTCAACCAGGTTCTTGGTCATTTTTAGCAACTGTATCTTCAGCTTCTTTCCTGTGGTCCTTGAGAACATCTGCTGGGAAGGGGGTGGTGGGTGGAGCTCTTCCTTTCTCTCTCTTCTTTGGCATTACAACTTTTAACTATTAACTGTTTTTATTATTCTCAAATATGAATTACTGTATCAATATTGATTACTGTTTCAATTTTTATCAGCACGAATCATACCTATTTATCACAGGTCTTTAAGCCTGTACCCTTTCCACCACAGTTACACACTCAGCCTCAGAGTTTAGACATTTGAGTTTATTCTCTGACTTGCTTTACAGAGCTCTAGAGCAGGGATGCAGCCACTTCTCAGCTCTACAAAGCACTGAGATCCAGCAGCTCACACATTTAGGTTCTGCTGGCACCTAAGCAGAAGCTGCACATTCACTTTGCCCTAGAGCCCCACAAAGCTCTGACTCTGAGCCCTCTGCTTGTTCAGCTCTACTCCTGTACCTCTGGTGTGTGTCTAGCTGGGAAGGGTAAGACTTATCTTAGTGATTGGCACCATTCTTGTACAAAGAAATTACAAAATAACAATGGAATCCATTTAAAGATAAAATGCTCTGAGATAGTAACAAACGCCAAAGGCCACAACATATACAAACCTAAAAACATTACTTAGAGATTAAACAGAGAGAAAATTTGTAAAATGTCACCAGTAAATAGTTTGACTCACATTTATAAAATATCCACACCCTAAAACCAAACACAGAAGAAGTAGAAAATCATTAAATCCTTTCTTGTAGGCCAATGAGCAGCTGTGAGCGGGGTCTCCAGAGAGCTGCCACACTGCAAACTAGCCTGTAATAACTGGCCAAGGCAAAGTCAAACAGCATGTTTCACTAAATGAAAAAGATGAATCCTAGCACTACAAATCACCTGGAACACAGAGATCCACAAATCATTTCAGCATCCAGGTTAGGAACACATGGTCTGTCATGGGAAAGGCCAGTTCTTCACTTGATTTCACAGTTATGCATGACACCAATTGTGCTCCATTACTCAGAGGCCAAAAACTGCTCCATTCTGCTTTGGAACCAGAGCAAACTATTCCAAACCTCTGCACAAGCACCAATAGGAGCTTGTTTTCCAAACATGAAGAATAGTTATGACTCCTTATAATTCATTCCTCGCTAGGTTTTCATCTTCACAGCTTGTAACAAAGCCAGTTGTTGGGACAGAAGCATTTTTAAAGCTATAAAGCAAGGAAGCAGGAAGAGAAGCTGCCCTTCCATTGCAAAGGCTGCTTTGCTGTGCCAGGTTATCAACAGAACATTTGCAACACTGCAAGTCCTGTAACTCACTTCTCTTTGCCATATGTTTGGATGGATCCTTTACTATGCTGCAAAAAACCACATTTTGGCAAAAAAACCATTACAGTAACACCAGAGAAAGAACTATGAGTATTCCTTTACAAAGGATTTAGAAGGGAACATGCACAGATTTTAACAAAATACTTGTCTGTTAATAGCATTCATTGTTTCCATTCAGATCTGAAAAATCCCCTTTTTTTTTCATTGTTTAGCATATAAAATTTGGTGGGTTTTTAAAGCTCCAGCTTTGGAGAGTCTGCTCTTAATTTAAGATCTCTAATCACTAATTTAAATGTCCTTTGGAATTCTTAGTTCTTTCATCATCAATTTTTCCTCTATCAGTAAACAGATCATAATTTACTAATAATACTAGGAAGATTTCAATACTCCAGGATTATTAAATACTTTAAATTTTAATCTGTTTTCTAAAATATTTATTTACTAGAAAGTTTGGCTTTCATATTGATATTTTTCATGTTCAAAGCTAAAATTTCCAGATGAAATGCAGAAAATAAAGCCTTTATTTATCTTGAAAGCAAGAATAAGCCCATTATTCCTGAACTAAAAATATTTAACTGTCAGAAACAGCACATCAGCTGAGCTTTGTAATATATAAGAGTTGAAGAACCACGTGCCTTTTCCCCTGCATGATGAAACCACATTAGTCCAAGACAGAATATTATCAAGCTGTCCAGAGCAGCACGGGAGGTTGGTGACACTGCAGCTCCTCTCCCTTATGACTTTCATATTTCCTTCCTTTTCCCTCCCCAATCCCTCCCATCCTGGTGCCAATTTCCATGACATGTACAGGAAGAGGAGAGGAGTTGTGGCAGGAGGAGGGAGGGAGAGGCAGGAGAGGAAACACGGGCACTCCATGAGCCCAGGCAATGGATCCAGAGCCCTTTCCAGAGCCTTCCACTGCCCTCAGGCCGAGCCTGGCATCCCCCCCCAGACCAGATTCCTCCAGAGTCTCCTCAGAGTATGTAGCATTTCACCCTCTTTATGGACACTTCCAGTATATGTATTTAAATAAACATTAGTAACTGAAATTTCAGGATTCAACAGTTGAAGCTAAAAAGTGTGAGGGACCCAATTCTGTACCTCTGTTGCAACAGTTCAACAGGCACTGCCCTTTTTGCCTGCTTTTATGAGAACTAAGCAAATGGCTGAGAAAAAACCCAATCCTGGTGCCAGGACAAGGCATCTGGGAGACACACTCCACACCATGAACTAGAATGTGCCAGCAGCTGATGGACTGAAACATTCTCCAAGTGTGTCTCTCACAGGGTATTCCCATCAGTTTTACATCCTGCTGGGAGACTCCCATTCTCCCAGTGTCCAAAAGGGTGATGTGAAAAAGGAGCAGCTACAGGGAATGTGGAGCTCTGCATTTCCCAACACATCTTCAGAACTGGCCAAAGGGCTGAGTGTGGGAATTCACTTGAAGCAGATCCAAGTCATGAGCCAGCAGAAATAGTCCTAAAATAAGAGCGTGTGAACTTAGGTCAGAGCTGACTTTGTATATAAACAGGAGCATGAGCACACTCTCAGGACACCCTCAGGACAGGTTTAGCCCCTGCCATGTGCACCAGAGCCACTGCGGTCTGGTTCTTATGTTAATAGCACAATAACCCAGAGCAGGCGTGCAAAGAGCTCCTTCCAAAGCTTCCCCTCCCAATTCCCCACCTTTAGCCAGCAGTGATCTGCCCTCCAGGGCATTGATGGGATTACAAAGCAGAGATTTGTGCTATGCCATGGAGCCACCACAGCTCTGCTGGGCAGGGGCAGCAGCTGCAGTCTGCACCTGAGCTGTTCACAACACAGCTCTGCCCTGCCCCAGCAGGTTTTCCAACAGTCATTGTCTGAGACCCCATTCCTACATGACAGAATATGTTATTTTCAAATTGCAGTTGCATCTGAATTTTTTCCAAGAAGGACTATCACACATCCAGTCTCACTCATCAGAACTGGGTCCACCTCTGTCAGGGGAGACCATGCTGACACCCACCAGAGCTGCAGGAGTGATGCCAGTGGCCAGTGCACACTGCCCCAACAGGAAAGCACTGAGTCTCACAGGGTGAAGCAATCTTGCTTGGTCCAAGGGTTGGCTACATCACATTCTGGGAGCAGAACAGTTAACAGTAGCAGTACTGACAACGCCTGATGAATGGAATCCCTCCTCCTTCTGAAGGATATATTTCATTAATTATTACCTTCCAGGGTGTGTTGACTTGCTCCTGTCTGTGCAGAATTTCATGTAAACCCTCTGCTGAATGTCACATGCTCATGCGCTGCCTGAAGTGCAGGATTTTGTATCTGGGTACCTGCTGTAGCTGACAGATGTTTACAAACTCATGTATCTGCACAGCTTCTTCCTGCTTATCCATCTGTGCTCCCTGTTAGACAGCAAGTTATTCCACCTTAGGCTGGAATAATTTAAGATTGTGACATCAATCCTTAATCTGCATTTTTTAGCTGGTAGCATGCAGAGATTTTAAGTTACAGCTACTAGACTGTCATTTTATATTAATCTAAGCTGCTTATTTAAGATTCAGCTATTTCTAAACAAGTGGCTGTAACTATATGGTGCTACAGCTGTTTTTAACGATGACAGGACTGTGATTAACTGGGACCTGTGGAATG